GGAACTGAAGAAGTCAATCTCGGTGCACTTGGTGCCTGATAGGGCCCACAATGACGAGTTGATCCCGGACGTTTATCTGAATGTTGCAAGTTCTGGCAAAGCCGTATGTCCTGCTCTTCTTCCGTTGCTTCACCTCACTTTTTGTTTTGTTGATCACTAGGCCAACATAGCGGCAGTGGTATTTTGCGCAACTCTGCATGGCAGTGATTATGGGAATTACCACAGTTATAGCATTATGGGAATCCTCTTTCCTTCAAACTTTTTAGCCACTTTTATTCTCAAACGCAGTGAGGCGTGATACGAAAATTAAATTTTAAAACTAGTGAAAGTGTAGCTGTATTCTCTGTTGAGCATCGAGCATGGATAGTACCGCCGGTGGAACAGCTAGTCCTTCTACGATTCGTTCATTCATTACGACAGTAAATAGTAGTAGTGCGTGCCATGGAGCCAAACCCGTCTCAGCTTGCTTCTAAGCAACTTTAAAGGAAAGAACCACTGACAGACTGCCAGTTGGTGGTTACTTTTAGCACTTGCTGCCGATCGGGCTATTTTTAATGCCTTCGCTTCTCAAAGATAGTGAATGTAGAAGGGATTCTGATTTTGACATTTGAAAGATTTCAGCAGCAATAGATTTTCTCACTCTTGCAGCCCCGTTTCTGCCAACTTTCACATTCTCCGATCATCAGAAATTTCTGTTTTGATATTTTTGCATCTTTGCGTTTGCAACGGGCAGCTGTCCGTCATCCCTCCACTTGCCCCTTCATAGGCACAACGAGAGAAATTTTCAGTGAATTAGCATGGCACGGGAAAATGACATCGGTTTTACGCCTCTATGCTGAATCTGTGCTGAATCATTTTCACGCCTTAGACATCAGGACTGTTTTTGCAGGAAGCGTCATCGCAAGGCTTAAGTACAAATGGTAGCAGTGGTTCGTCTGCTGGACGCAGTTCCTCTCGTTCTAGCTCGAGAACAAAATTTCGTCCGACGCTGGGCGCATTAGATGAAGCTGGAGTTCCTTCAACTGACTTCTGATTTGTTCCTTGCGTTGACAGTGCCCTTTGGCTGTGATATTATTAGTTGTCTTTTGAGCTGTATAATTGTCCCGACTTCCGACCATTGGGGACTTGGAGATTGCATGTGTAGTTAGGAGATGGGCGAGACAGTGCAGGACTTGGGCCGTGACAGCCGCATGAAATGTAGAAAAATGTAA